TTCTTTGGGCATTTAGGACATTTCATGTAACCTTAGGGAGCAATGTGCTCATAATGCAAACTTTAGGTGATTATGCGCACATTTTTAAATCTTCTTTGGGCATTTAGGACATTTCATGTAACCTTAGGGAGCAATGTGCTCATAATGCAAATTTAGGTGATTATGTTCACATTTTGAAATCTCAGAGGTTATGCGCACCTTGCCCAAAAGGCCAAAACCAAAAGTAGGTTATTTTCACCCCCAAAACAACAGGCAGGTTTTGTGCACATTTTTAAACCTTTAGGGTATGTGCACCTACAATTTACCCAATGAAAAGCTGTTTTCAAATTCCAGTAAATTAAGAATAAGGGGTCTGATATTAATTGAATGTAATGATTTTCAATTTTGGAGTTATGGGTCAATTCAAAAAGTTGAGGGGCGTAGTTGGTAAAATAGTTAGGGACCTTAATTGTGAAGTGTGTGTTTGCGCACACACTTTTGTTGTGTGTTTGCGCACAGACTTTTGTTGTGTGAATGTAAAGGGTGCACACAAATGTCTTCCTGTATGAATATTTTCTTTTTATTGATAAACTGTATAAATAGGTTCCCTTGCTTCTTTTGGTTTTTTTTTTTTCTTTTCTTTTCTTTTCTTTTCTGTAGCTTAAAAAGAGGAATCTCATAAAATAAAGGAATTTACTGCTTTTTTCTTATGCACACCGAACTGAATTTATTTTTTGTAGACTAGATAATGTTGTTTATTATAATGTTATTATAATGTAAACTCTGATGTGCATAGCATATTGACAGCATTGGAGCATTCCATTGGGTAGATCGGGCTTCATCTTCTTTTCCACTAGAGGGTAATAATAGGTAACCTAATCTAGTATCTATACTTGCAATTTTTTGAAACTCTTTGGCTTGGGTATCTATTTTTCTTTATTTTTATTTTTGTTTTCTTTCAGAATTCTTAGTGGTAAGGTTTTGTTTTTAAAGTTTTTATTTGTCAAATTTGTGTTGATAAATTAACTTTTGTATTTACTGACAATTTAAGTTCTTTCCTACTTCAGTATTTGTTATCAGTTTATTCTACTCTGTATCAGTGAATCAGATTGAATAATTATTTTCACTATTTTTTATTAGTTTTGTTTATAAAAAATTACAATCCACTTACACACATTATTAACACAAAATCTTGACAATTTATCTCTCCATTATGAATGGTTGAGATTTATCAACTTTTTAAATGAAAAAAGGAGTTATTAAAAAAATAGGATAAAAAGTGGATAAATCTCAACCATTTATGGTGAAGAGATGAATAATCAAGATTTTGTGAAGTGATGTGTGTAACTAAGTGAATCCTAATTTGTTGATAAATGGGATATATTTATTTGTTATCGTGTTTAGAAACAGATATATTCAAGTGATACATGGAACATAAGAGAAGCTGACATGGCATCCACATGGCCGCCACATAGGACTAGAGATCAGTTGTATCGAGATTAGTTCTATGTGACACATATTGAATTCTTGTTTTGATTTTGGGGAAGGAGAGGGGGGATGAGGTTATTGTCATTTTGAGAGTCAGGATAGTATTTAGGGGACTGCATGGTTTTCATTTTCTATTTGTCTGGAAATTATTGTCTCCTATCTTCTTCATCCAGCCTCTGTAAATTCTCTGTTTTCCCTTGTAATCTTAGATCTTCTTTTAATTTCTTCTAGATCTTCCTTATTAAATCCCTTGAGAAATTTATTGAGAGGATTTCAGCTCTCCTTACTTTTCTCTCTTTATCTTGATTTTTCTGTGTATCAATTGCTACCAGAACAGCATTTCCTTGGCCATGACAGCAGCTCAGGATCCCCTGGCAGATCTGGTGGCCTTGAAGCTGATGGGGACAGTAGGAGAATTTAAAGAGCAATTGGATCTTCTCTTTGCTTAGTGTGCTATTAGTGGAAAAACATAACAGTATAGTGAAGCTCTGATTAAATTTGTGCTGTATTATGTCAGGGAGTTGACTCCCTAGGCTTAGATTCAACTCCCTTAAAATAATTTGAAAAACCAAGTTTACTGTTTTTTGGAGTTGACTACAACCCCTGAATTTGCTGTCTGAGGTGTAGTCAACTCTTACCCCTAAATCTCTTACTATAAATTTTCTAATAAGAAAAATCTGGTTACCAGTATCGTTTTGATTGTTGTGCAGGAAAAGCCTGTCTCTCCAAAGTGTGACAGAAACTGTAGTTCAGGAACTTAGAAAACTCCTATTGGTGCATCCCATGCTTGTAATAGCTACCAAAGCCACCATCCTACAGGATAGATATTCAGTGAATGAGATAAAATGGTAAGAAACTGAGGTACAAAGGCTTGGAGCTTTTAGTTCCAGTATCTAGCTCTTTCTATTTTTAGTTTCAATTGTTTGGACTGAAGTGCACATGCTCAAGTTCTAACATAAATGCATTCTTTGTGCTATTTGTGTTACTAGCTTTTCAAGTTGGCTTTTTTTCTTTTTTTCTGAGGAATTTTAGGATGCAGTCTTCCTTTGATAATTCACTATTAAGAAGTGCAGCAAGAAATGATCAGCAACTTCCCTATCGTGAGTATATGCCTTCCATCTGGCAGGTATCATATACATCAGCCGCTGCTAATTTGTTCCCTGGGGATTTTTTTATTGACAAAGATTTAGCTTATTGTGGCCCATAGTTGTAGATATAACTGCTCGCAAAACTGCATATAGATGAGTTTTATTTCTAAAGGATTTTCCTTTCCTTTCAGATCTTGTGTAGCATCAATCTTGGAGATTGTAATACAATTAAACAATTGCCTAAATGAGAAACTAAATTTTAACTAAATCATTTGAGAAGAAACAATTATATTGAGTTGAGTTAATCACCTCCCTGGAAAATTGATCTGAGATGTTAAGATATCCTAAATCATTTTATTGGGGATCCAATAAGAGTAAAGTCTCAAAGTCAACTCAATTTTAAAAAGAGATAATTGAATGGATAGCACCAAGTGATTTGAGAAAACATTTATGCAATCAAGATGATGGGGAAAAAGTCAATCTTGTTTTTAGAAGATAACCTATCTTAGAATTTCAGTCCAAGATGCTCATTGCTACTTTGTAGTGGGAATTTTCTTCTTTCGTTAAATTGATATGGTGCCTTTTATTGTCAGGTTTATTTTAATTAATACTTTCTTGCTATTGCAGTCCTTTGTAACGCACAGGATACTCTTACGATCTACAGGTTCATAATTTTAATTGTGGCGGAATGGAAGTCTTAAATTGTTTTCTTTCTTCATTCTTATGGTTTCCAGTTCATTCTTATTAGTATAATTATACATTTCTTGTGACTATTTTCCAGATGAAGACTTCATTGATAGCGAGCATCAAAATTTCCCTGTCTATCTATCTGAATGGATGGTGCCACCCCTAAATTCCTTGGACAAATTCATAGTGAAAGATGTAAGATGATTCTCGTGCTTCTCATCCTTTGTAAAGGACCATTAATTATCAGCATTTTCAGTGAGTTATGTTTGATTTCTGTCATGCATGCAGGCTGGTCTGTCTATCATTTCCTGAAGTTGTTTTGCAGGGTCAAGGATAATCTCAATCTCAATCTCAAGCAACTCTTTTCTTGACATCTCGCACCATGCCAGGTCATAATTATTTCTGAAATACACTTCTATTCATCAGAACATGTATATGTAAGTGTTAAGAAAACTGTTTTACAG